GGGAGGGAGGGAAGGAGGGGAGGGGCGGGGCGGGGCAGGGGGAAGGGCGGGGGTGGGGGCAGGGGCAGGGGCAGGTGAAGGAAAGGAAAGGGAAGATAAGGAAGGGAAGGAAGGGAAGGCAGGGCAGGAGGAAAGGAGGAAGGGGAGGGGAGGGAGAGAGGGAGAGAGGAAGGGAGGGACGAAGGAAAAAGAAATACAGAATCATCCAAACTCATCAAGATGCATAAATTAAATGTATACATTTTGGGAGCATTTCAATTATACCTTAATAAAGCTAAAAAAGCTGCAGAGTCAAGTCTCAGGCTCCAGTCCATACCATCCAAATCAGAATATGAATTTTATAAAGATCACCCAGGTGGTCCTTGTGCAGCTTAAAGTTTGAGAAGCACTGCCATCAACCATCCCACCCATCTCATTATGAGAAGCATTTCCCATGCAAAGTTATGCTTTCTGTTTAATGATTTATCAAATGTGTAAAATAATAATGTTATTTTGATAAACTGTGTAATAGCGATCACTGTAATGATACACAAATCAATATAAAAGGAAGATCCTTAGAGTTCAAAGGAAAAAATTTAAACGTCCATTTCAGTTTACATACATACATACATAGAGTTAAAAAAGGATGATAATTTTAAAACTTTCAAACATAAAATACGTTAAGATTAAATTTTACAAAGCAGGTGAAAGGGAAGTAGGAGTTCAAGAAGGCAAAGAAAGAACAGTGTAAAACATTGGACTTGTTCAGGTAATTTTTGATGGATGATGGTAGAAACCAATGTATTATGGTATTTATTCTATGACCAGGCAATTTCACTCATGGATCTATACACAAAAAAAATGAGTGCCTATGTTCACCAAAAATATATACAAGAATACTTATAGTATCTTTATAGCCAAATATTAGAAATGACCCTAAATGTCATAGAATGGATTTTTTGAATGTGAGATATTGAGTGGAATAATATACAACAATGAAAAAGGAATGCTACTGCTCCCCACAGTGAAACCCACAGACCTTGTGTTTATGAAAGAAGCCAGGATAAATGAGTTTGTGCAAAACTAGTTCATGGTTTTGTGCAAAACTAGTTCCATGGCTGGAAAAGTGGTCACCTTTGACGGGTATTGATGGAGAGATGGAATATGCATGCCTTCTGAATACTGGAGATGTTCTACACCTTGATGTGGGTGGTAGGGACACTGATAAAAATTAATTGAGCTGCTAACTTAATATCTGTGCATTCTACTACATGAAAGTGAGGCTTCAATAAAAAGACAAAATTAAAAATTGCTATGTTAGGTTCTATTTGATACATTTTCAAGAATTTTTTGAGACAGGGATCTCTATGTTATCCAGGCTGGTCTTCAACTCTTAGGCTCAAGCAATCCTTCTGCTTTGGCCTTCTAAGTAGCTGGGACTAAAGAGGTAAGCCACCCTGCCCATCCTACCCCCCAACATTTTGATACAGTTTTAAGAGAGTGGTATGGTATAATGCTACACTACAATGTGAATATTTAAAACATGGCCGAAATTATATCCTTTGTAACTAACCAAGCTTAGAATAAAATATTTTATTTTATTTTATTTAGCACAAACTAAAGAATGAGACATTTTACATGTAAACTTGAAATGTATAAAGCAGAAGAGATATTTTTGTTTCCAAAGTTCATGTAGAGGGTAGATAAGCAAAAAAAAAAAAAAAAAAAAAAAAAAAAAAAAAAAAAAAAAAAAAAAAAAGTTGAAAACCACTGCTTCAGAGCCCACATGAAGCACTGCTCCTCCCAAAAAGTCCTGGGCTGCCAGCCCTGGTGACCCTCTTCTGAACTCCCACGGCACATACAGTAAATCTCAGATTGCCTAGTGCTGTTCTGTTTGGGTTTTTTGTTGTTAGTTTTCATTCCTTCATGTATGCATGCCATCTCTGCCTTATCTCCTCAAACTCTGAGGGTAGATTCTCCCAGCACATAATAGGTCATCAGGATATCTGTACAGCAAACTATTATTTCCACCCCCCCCCTTTTTTTTTGAGACAGAGTCTTGCTCTGTCGCCCAGGCTGGAGTGCAGTGGCACCATCTTGGCTCACTGCAACCTCTGCCTCCTGGGTTCAAGCGATTCTCCTGCCTCAGCCTCCCAAGTAGCTGGTATTACAGGCATAAACCACCACACTTGGCTAATTTTTATATTTTTAGTAGAGATAGGGTTTTACCATGTTGGCCAGGCTGGTCTGTTGACCTCAGATGATTTGCCCACCTCAGTCTCCCAAAGTGCTGGGATTACAAGCATGAGCCACCACGCCCAGCCTACTATTTCCCATTAGCAGATGCTTTTACCCAAGTGCATTAAATGTTGTGATTATGGGAGCCTCAGCTGACACACACACACACACGCACACTCACACCATATCACACATACATACAAAACACACAACATACTACACATAATACCACTCAACCCCCCCCCACACACACATTCAACATGGATGTACAATAGCATGGTTTTTACAGATGAAGAAACCAAGGCTTTATGTAAACCAAAATCAGGGACTCATCCAAGGTCACACATTGTTCTCCGAACTCTAACAAACTACTCAGGTCCCCTCTTAGGTGCTCTACCTGTTGAACTGAACTGTAGTAAGGTACCATCACTTCCACCAGACCAAGCCTTGTCATATCAACACATAATTACAAAAGTATAACAATGCAGTGAGTGCTATTAGTGTTTCCCCACTTTTTCCCCATAGACAAGGAAGTGGCCGCTCAGGAAGAAGTCGCTAGCAGAGCCAGCAATCAAACCCAAGTCCCTCAGAAGCTTACCACAATGCTCTTAACATGATGATGTAACTAGACTGAGGCCCCTATAGGAACTTCTTGGTCTGTATTTCATGAATTATCCTTGTTTTCCATATGAAAACAAAACAAAAGATACTTTTAATCCATCTGTATTCAACCTCTTGCATTCTTCTTGTAACAAGATGGCGATCTAAAGAGATATTATTTACTAGAAAAGCTGTAGCCACTGCCTTCCTCCATTATAGAGCATAATCAGGAAACAACATTCTCATATTTTAGAGGAAAAGCTCATAAATCACATCGTGATGACAGCAGATGATTTGGAAGGAGCAGAGCAACCTCCCCCAGTTCATATAACCAGCTGGAGCCTCCCAGGCTAGGCCGCGCATGGAACCCTCCAGCAATTTGCAGGGCTCAGAATCAAGTCTTTCTAGCAGGAAATGGCCCTGGCAGAGCATCCTCTGAAGGCTGCCCTGATCTGGAGCCCTGAGGGCATTTGATTACCCATCTCGTTATTTCTAATTCCCATCCAAGTTGCTGCTAGGAGCCTACAAGCTGGCACAGATTTGAGTTTTCTCCTTGAAGATTTCAAAGAGAGAAAAATAAAATAAAACAGAATTGTTCCCAAGGCACAGACTTCATTCAGCAGACATTCCCCCTGGGGA